CGCCCCCAGCTCAGCAGTTATCAGACCAATTCTAGTAATAAATACTTTATTGGTATCCAAAATAGTGAAGCTCCCTAATTGCATTGTGAGCTTCCTCCAAGAAACACCGCCCAAAGCCAGGAATGATCAGCTCCCATGTCTAGCCTGAACAAAACAACTTTGGTATTCTCCCTTACACATAAACAAATCTAGTGTTCTCCCTCGAACCATTGTTGTTTCTCTACAAAAACTCTTACCCATGCTCAAGTAAGTGTTCTGATGCCTGGATCCAAAATCTGCATCAGTTCCACTGGGACTTCATCTTCTTCTGACTGAACATGCTGGGGGCTCTGCCTGTCTCCAGCACTCCAGACCCTCAGCTACCATCACCACATGGGACCCCGATCGAGTCAAGCTTCACGGAGTGGTGAGAACCTCTCTCTCTCTCTCAGTATAGCCTTCTGACCCTGACTTGTGTGATCACTTATAGTTTTCTAATCCTGACTTTTATAATCAAGTTTAAGTTAGATTTAATATTTTTTTAATTAATTTATTAATGGAGATATCCCATCTCCTAGAACTGGAAGGGACCTTGAAAGGTCATCAAGTCCAGCCCCCTGCCTTCACTAGCAGGACCAAGTACTGATTTTTGCCCCAGATCCCCAAGTAGCCCCCTCAAGGATTGAACTCACAACCCTGGGTTTAGCAGGCCAATACTCAAACCACTGAGCTATCCCTCCCCCCAATATTATAACTGTTTTGTTTGTTTGGCTCCCTTATGGTTATTACCTGGTAATAAATAACTTTCATGATTAAGCTGGTTGCTTCTCTCTCCCTCTGTCTCTCTCTTCCCCTCATGGGTGTTTTTTTGTTTTGTTTCCTCATTCACTCTGCAGCAATGCTCCTCGTATGTAAGCTAACAGATCCCTTCAGCACCCAAAAATCCAGTGGGGTTTGCTCATCAAGTGGGTTACTACCAGAACAACTGTAACGTGAAAGTGAGGATAGAGACGTGCTAAACCAAGGACATATGAGGGTTACAGCTTGGAAGTGCTGCTCGACCCAGCCTACTGAGTCCAGGGACATATAAGGGGTCAGCTTGGGAGTGATGATTAACCCAGTCCTCTCAGCTGTGCTCTGTTAATGTGTGTATGTATGTTAGTCTGATTTTGGGGCTGGAAGAACCCAGCCCGGGGGAACCTAGGTCCTTCAGATAGCTTCATTGGGAGGGAACTTGCAGCAGGGAGAAGTAGAGCTCCGTATGAGAACACAAGTGACAGAAGCAGTACATGGATAGAAGTACAGACACCCCCCACCCCACCCCCTGAAGAGTAACCCTAATAAATGAGCATACCCCAAAGTAACAGGCAAAGCTGGTAACAAATTGGTGGAGAATGCGGGCAGCACGTGACCCTAATCACGTGGCACTTGTTGAGTAGTTGCTGTGGAGTGGGAAACTGAGACACAGACCTGAGCAAACCGTCTCTTCCTTTTTCAGACTAAGTTCTTTTACCAAGGGCTCTCTCTCTCTCTAATAGAATATTTGGTAACATCCTGTAACTCTTAAGTTAAGAATCATACTTAGAATAACTGTAAGACAGTGCAATAAGGAGTTAAAGAGTTGTGCCTTAAAATAAAAGATTTTAGAGCAATATTGTGATTGCATGAAAGGGCTTTTGGTAGGGATCATTAGTGAGATAAGGGAAGTAGAGATGGGGGGGAAACCTTGGCTGCTCACTTGAGACAGGAGAAAACCAACAGGTTAGAGGAGATGAGTAATGAAGAAGGGGAAATGCTCCTGGGAAAGGGGGTGCTCTAAGGAAACCAACTCCAGGAAACAGCCCCAGGATCGGAGCTGCCAGACCTCGGCACTCTGCCAGTGGCATCATGCAGAGGCTGGAGTCCCCCAGATGGACCTGATCCTGGCTGGCCATCAGGAAGGGTTCATCTGTCTTGTTAAAAGTGGTGAGCGTTGTGTGTATGTGTGACGTTATTGATCTAATCTGGGACCATATAGAACATGGTTGCAACCAAGGTCCTGTAGTGGCACCAAATCTTGTATAAAGGGGGTCAAATGAGGTGTCTTAGACAGGGTTATGGTTTGCTGGTTATGATTATGCTGTCTAGATGTGTGTATCAATTTTGTAGTTGAAGTTATGAATATTGGCTATATACTGTCTGTATTTCAAACTTATGCTATGCTTCTGGGAGACATCCCAGACAAGTTGATGTTAGCTCTGCCTAGCCTGCTTGATGGCCCATTAAGGACCATAAGCTATACAATTGACCCATTGAGAGAAGGCAGATACACCTTGCAACTCAGCAAAGTATGCAGGGACTGGCCCATGTGACTCCAGACTCCATTTTGCTGTAATTTTCCACAGTAAGGACAAAGAGGTGATTTTACACCTGGAAAAGACTATAAAAGGATGATGCCTCTCCTCCATCTTGTCTTCAATCCTGCTTCTTACCTCTGGAGGGACTTTGCTACAAACTGAAGCTCTGAACAAAGGACTGAATGACCCATCCCAGCTGGGGATGTTCCAGAGACTTGATTTTGAACCTGCAGTTTATTTCATCACTGCTACAAGCCTGAACCAAGAACTTTGCCATTACTGTATGTAATTGATTCCATTTAACCAATTCTAGCTCTCATCTATATCTTTTTTCTTTTATGAATAAACCTTTAGATTTTTAGATTCTAAAGGATTGGCAACAGCATGATTTGTGGGTAAGATCTGATTTGTACATTGACCTGGGTCTGGGGCTTGGTCCTTTGGAATCGAGAGAACCTTTTTTTTCTTTTACTGGGGTATTGGTTTTCATAACCATTTGTCCCCAGAACGAGTGGCACTGGTGGTGATACTGGGAAACTGGAGTGTCTAAGGGAATTGCTTGTGTGACTTGTGGTTAGCCAGTGGGGTGAGACAAAAGTCCTCTTTGTCTGGCTGGTTTGGTTGCCTTAGAGGTAGGAAAACCCCAGTTTGGGGCTGTAACTGCCCTGTTTAAGCAATTTGTCCTGAATTGGCACTCTCAGTTGGGTCCCGCCAGAACCAGCATCGTTACAGTATGGTATGTGCATTCTGTTTTGGTAATTGTTAATAGGTGGAGACTGAGTGGGATATTGATGTGTGGGGCTCTTTCACTGGTGGGAGATCCCATAAACTTGCAAAAGATTAAGCCCTGAGTCCACAGGGAAAGGGTGTTTGCTCTGAGTCCACAGGGAAAGGATATTTGCCCAGAGGAATAGATCTCAGAGCCCACAGAGGAGTAGAGCCCGGAGCCCCTGGTGGAGTAAAGTTAGGTGCCTTTCACCTGGAGCCCTAAGAATAAGGAAAGAGTGTTTGCTCTGAGTCCACAGGAAAGGGTGTTTGCCCAGAGTCCACGGAGGAGTAGATCCCAGAGCCCATGGAGGAGTAAAGTTAGGTGCCTTTCGCCTGGAGCCCTACGAACTGGGAAAGGGTGGGGGTGTCTAAATTAATAGGGTTATGCCTTGAGCCCTAGGTACTGGGTAAAGGTGGGTGCCCCTAGAGTGTGTATTTTGTGCAGGTAACAATTAGTCCGAGAAGTAATGTACAAAAAGTTTTCTGCAAAGGAGCACTCTTTGACACATACCTGGGGTGGCCCCTGCTTTATTGTGAATCAGGCCAGCCCCAGGTAGAAATACTGAATAGAAAAAATGGGAAACCCTGGTGGAAATGGTTTCATTCCTCACAGCTCAAAGACTGGAAGGGTAAACCACCTCACCCTCAAGGAATATTATAACTGTCTTCTCCATCCTGCCATCTACCCTTCTTGGCTAGCAAGAAGGAACAGCTTGGGGACGTTGGAAAATACACGTCTCAACCCATTGTTGAGGCAGGAAAAGGCCAGAGAAGTCCTCGACTTACTATGGCCACCCTCATGTAGGTCACTGCTTCATGTTCACCCTGCAATATTGGTCCCAGACTCCCTCTGTGTATATGGAGGGAGTGTGGGAGTTTGTTCTCTCTTCTCTGCCCCCTCACAGGTCCCAAACACGAGCCATGACATCCCACTGGTGCACCAGCACCCTGCTGTTCAAAAGTGTCTGGAGTCTGATGCTGTACCTGTGATCCCTCTGAACCTCTGGAGGTGCTTGCCAGCTGGAGCCCAGGAAGTAAAATTGCTGTGCCTCATGCATGGATTCTATGGGAATGGAAGCAACGCCCTGCAGTATCGCTACCAGTTCTACGCTGTCGGCAACTCCTCGGGTAGCCCCTGGGAAAGCGTTGCCAATTGCTGATTGTTGTGAATTGCAGCTCAGGCCCCGCTCTGGAGGGAGGGGATTTCAGAATCCAGCCCCAAGAAGAGTGACAGCCAAAGTTGAGACAGTTGAGAGGTTTAATGGGACCCTGAAGTCAATGTTTGTCGAGGATGACCTGAGACATTGGGATAAACTGTTACCCATGTTGCTATTTGTGGTATGGAAGGTACCCCAAGCATCCATGTGATTCTTCCCATTTGAACAGTTATACAGGAGGCAGCCCAGGGGATCCTGGAGCTCCTCTGAGCAACCTCGGGAGGAGCAAGAGTCCCAAGTTATGTGGTCCATTCCCTATATATTGCAACTGCAGGAGCATCTCAAGAGGCTTGGAGGATTTACCTGCGAGAATTTAATGAATGCTCAGTAGACCCAGGAGCAGAGATACAGAGAACCTGTCTCCGGACCTTTGAGCCTGGTGATCGCGTCCTATTGAATCCAAGCTGTTAGCCAAATGGCAGGGGCCATTTGAAGTGCATCGAAGAGGGGGACCGCTAGACTAGAGGTCTGGTTATCCAGATGGTGATGTAGTTCCTGAGAAGGCCCTGGAAGGCCCAGGAGGGCTTGCTAGTTGCCCCCTACCCGGCTGAACCCTAAACTGGGGCCAGTTGCGTTGAACCCCTCCAAGGCAACAACAGTAGCAATTGAACAAGAACTCAATGAAGTGCAATGGTAGCAGCTGCAATGGCTGGTCCAGTCCTTTCCGGCCATTCTGTCACCTCACCCTTGATGGACGAATATGACTCACCACCACATAGCCAGCCGAGGACAGAAGGTGCGAGACCATTATCGGCCGCTGCCCAAGAAGATGTGGGGAGTCCTCAGGGAAGAGATCAAGGCTATGCTGACCTTGGGGCTGATGGGGGAATCCCACAATGAGTGGAGGAGCCCCATTGTCTTGGTTCCAAAAGCTGATGGATCCACTGGGTTCAGCATAGACTTCTGGAAAGTCAATGCAATCTCTGGGTTCGATGCCTATCCTGTGCCACGGGTAAATGAGCTGCTGGAGCAGTTGGGGAATGACAAGTTCATATCTACACTTGATCTTACAAAGGGATACTGGAAAAATTCCCCTGACCCCAGCTTCCTGAGAGAAGACAGACTTTGCCATGCCGAATGGCCTCTTCCAGTTCATGACTACACCATTTGGGCTACATGGGGCTGCTGCAATCTTTCAAAAGCGTATGGACCAACTTCTGCGACCACATGAGTAATACACTGCAGCCTATATTGATAACATAGTAATATACAGTGTCAGCTGGGAAGACCATCTTAGGCATCTCACTATGGTGCTGCAAGCTCTTGGGGAAGGAAGGACTAACAGCAAAACCCTCCAAGTATCACCTAGGGCAGAAGGAGGTGGCATATCTGGGATACCAGTGGGGCAGGAGCGGCTGCTTCCACTTGTGGATAAGGACAAAGCCCTGAGAGACTATCCAGCCCCAGGGCCAAGAGACAGGTGAGGCAGTTTTTTGGATTGGCCAGCTACTACAGACTCTTTGTTCCGGACTTTGCCACCCAAGCAATGCACCTGATGGACGTTACGAAAAACTCCCAGCCTAGAAGGGTACAGTGGTCCAAGGATTGTGAATATGCTTTACAGTCCCTGAAGGAACGGTTGAGTGGGGAACCATTCCTATTCCACACACATTTTTGGAAGCAGTTCTTACTCCATACCAACACTTCAGAGGTGTGCTTGGAGCGGTGCTATCTCAAGAGCATGATGGAGAAGAACAGCTGGTGCTATATCTGAGCAGAAAGTTATTCCCTCATGAGACAAGGTATTTGACGATAGAAAAAGAGGCACTGGCAGTGAAATGGGCCATTGATGCCCTACTTTATTATCTGTTGGGGAATCCCTTCCAGCTTCTCACAGATCACATGCCCCTCCGATGGATCCCTCAAGCCCTATTAGTCTGAGGGTATGTCTACACTACGAAATTAGGTCGAATTTATAGACG